GCCGGGCGAGCGAGCAGCCTGCGGGGGCAGGACGCTGCGGCGGCGGCGGCTCCAGCGCCGCTCGGCGGCGGCCAACAGCGACACCCGGAGGCGCCGCCGCGCCACTGCAGCCGCCGGATGGCCGCGCTCAAGGGGGCCCGGCTTTGGGCGGGGCTCAGCGCCTGCTCCGGATCCGGGGGCTCTCCGCTATTGCAAACCCCGAGCGCAGACGCAGTGACTCGATGTTCCTGCAAAAGGAGTTTTTAACTGAGGTGCTCTGTCGGGTTCTTTTAGGTCACATCTCCTTCATCACATTGAATCGTTATAATTAAGTATTCGCGGCAGAGCAATACCAAAATGATCTCAGCCGCTTTTACTAAAACCGTTATCTAAGACCAATAAACTATTTTATGGAAAGAGATGATTTCTGGAGCCTTGCAGCTCTCCGTCATCTACCTTGAATTCTACTTTCCTTACGTGGGATAGATTAACCTGAAAAAAAGGAGTAGCCTAAAGAAAAATGTAGAGCTCTATGCTAAGATAGAATAACACTATTTTTCTCTAATTCATCTAAGTTCCTTATTTTGTGTCTCCATACTGCAGAACCTCACAACGGAAAAATTCAAAGTCATTTTGATATCTTCCATAGAACCAAGTAAAATGTATCAGATTGGAATTATAAACCACTCCAGCCCAGCAATGCAGTTGATTATTGCTGGATGACTTTCATTTAATTTCAGCAAAGGGTAACTAGGATCACAAGGAAAAAAAAGGCTCAGGCCTGCACACCAGGCGTAAAATCTAACCACGTTTCAGAAAACCTCTTTTGAACATCTAATTCCCTGTATTAAAGCCAGCCTTTCCACCTACTTGTAATCACTCCGAGTCTTCAGACACACCCGACTCGTTTCGGGATTTAGACAACAATCCTGGAAACCACCACAAGATACACATTTGTATTCCTAATCAGTCAGCTGTAGTACACAGGCAACAAATAAAACTGTCTTGTACTGACTACACAGGGGGGTCACAGAGAACCTCAAACCACAGACCCCAGCCACATTCAGTTCATTGGACCATGAGAAAAAAAAACAAACTTGGAAACACAGGTGAAGGCCTCATGTAAATGCCAGGACAAATGGAACTTTATACATCTCTTTTATCCATTTCAAACCATAGCACAGTAAACTCCTACACTGGCCCTGTCTCTGCATAGACAGAGTTCTCTCTGTCATCACACAACACGAAAGAAAATTTTGGAGACAGACATCATTAAAAGTTGCTCTCCCAACTTCTCAGATCCCAAGGATCACAGCACACATATATGCNCAGCCGCCGGATGGCCGCGCTCAAGGGGGCCCGGCTTTGGGCGGGGCTCAGCGCCTGCTCCGGATCCGGGGGCTCTCTCTATGATATCAAACACCAAGCGCAGAAGCACTTGCTTGCTGTTCATTTACCTGCCACTAATTAACTTGACAAGTCAAGTTAAAGCAAAGATTTATCGGTCTATGCTAAGAGAGAAGTTTAAATTTGCATTTTTGTTTGTAGCCACATAATTCCCTTCTTTTGCAACTCCATACCTGAAGAGCAGAAAATTGGAAATTGCAAAGCCAAATTGAGATTTCATACGATCAAAAACTTTCCTGTTGGGTCATGAACGTTCATAAATCATTAAGTCCAACACTGTGCTATGGGCTACCCTTAAATTATTATATTAGGAGATTGTTTTGCATGTTTACGCTACAGACATTTGCCTCAGTGAGCACACACATGCCTAGGAAACCCTTCACGTTTCCTCCTCCAAATATCACAGGTGCCTGTGAGAACTGCGCCTGTACTTCGAGGATTGGAACAGACGTGACCTTCCACATAAGACCAGACAAATCCAGGTCACTCATCACAACTGGCACCGTAGGAATTAGAAATCGACAGCAATGTCCGGGTCATATGCAATGACATTTCTTAGGTTCATCTTATCGAGCAGAAGCTGCTCAAATTGCATTGTACTCCATCTCGAGTAAAATGTTAGAGTCCTCCTCCACCTTATCACCAACCACACAGACCTGGCCGATTCACTTCTGACCTTCTCATCATTTGCAAAAACATCATGTACGATATTGCACTACGCTGCCCTGCAGAACAAGATTCTGAAAAGAAGCAACAGAATTCTCACATCTCCTGTCTCTAACAACTGCTGGAGCATGAGCACGTGGCGCTAACACACAACACATTGCTCAACAAACATTTGCACATTATGACCTTTATGAATTTCTCTTAATTGGAAAAACTTCTCATGAGAAGATAATGCAGTATTGATGTCTTTGGAAAATCATACCAGGAAAATACATGGAAGCAGATTTGTAGGCCTCTTCTAACAGCTAGGACAAATGAAATATTTACTCCTTTTTTAAACCCGTTTCAAATGATACCACAGTGACCTCTTCCACCCATCCTGTCTTTGGACAGACAGAACACTTCTCCCTGTAGTAATATCACACAACAGGAGAACTTTGGAGATAGACACCATGGAAAGAAGAGTTGCACACAAGGCTTCTCAGATCCAAGGATGCATGCAGAGATTATCCTGCACATCCCATTTCTTCGAACATATGTAAAATGCTATAAAGAGCATAAGCGATCATCAGAGTAATCAAAGACTCAGCTTTCAAAGTATCAGCTCAAAGGTAACATCATATTTCTTCATCACAGGAGCTTCTTGGAATTTACATGACTGTCACTCTTAATGGAAAAAAGTGCCGTGTCTTCACCTTGGCCATTTGAATCGAAACCAAGTGATATGAAAAAGTATAACATTACCATTTAGAGAAGGCCAGCAACAAACGCTGAACATGTCACATCTCCACCAGTGCTCCTCACACACAGCACCCCCAAGATCCTCCACACAAACTTCACAGCTCCCGTGGCCATCGTGCATCTTCACACTCAGCAGATAAACTCTACCAGAAGAGAAGGTCCACAGACCACGTTTCCTTACCCGGGATAATATTTGACTTCGTGCCATGTGTACATGAGAAGCAAGAGCGTTTCTTCCATTAATATCTATGCAAGGGTTCTCTATGAGATCAAGTGAGGGAAGAAGTTACCATCTGCGGAAAGGAGGACTCAGACCTTACTCGGCCACATCATTAGGCAGACTGGAGACATATTTCAGGTATTTAGTGGGTAATAAGTACTCAGTTAGCCCCTCCCAA